AGGCTCTTCCCTTGCACCCGCAGGTCAGAACCAAGCAGTGGTCATATCTTGGTCTGGAGTCTGCAGCTGAGAGAGTTGTAGAGGTGTGTGTTGAGGAGAAGCATTGATAACATGGGGACTGGACTTCAAAAGCTTCATCCATTACATTATTTCTTATGTGTGATGATTTTTCAGCATGATCCCTTCTTGGCAGTGCTGGGGGAGCAGCTGTCCTCACCTGCTTCCTGCTGGGACAGATGGGACCCTTGGCATTCTCTCCCAGTCAGTTCCCTTTAGTGATTTCCGTGTGTAAAAACAAATGGTTCAGCTCTCGGGCTGGGGGAGAGGGGCAGAGCGATGATCCTCGCTGTTCACAACCACTCAGCGTTAGGATTTTTCTTCAAAACCAGTTTCATCTCCCAGTAACACTTCCTGTTTTGGCAAAAGATAAAGAGTGTGTGCAGCATAATTAATTTTTCCCTTTTATGATCTAAAATGGCCCTTCCCTCGTGTGTTTTCTGCTGGGGAAAACAACCCTGGAAATACCCCCCCCTCCATACATTGCTGAGGAAATGGGCAATTTTGATTTATGCATCTCTGGCCAAGCTACTGTGTCAGAGCAAATCTTTGTTTTGAATTACATTTTACGGATGCATATTGTTCTTAAAAACTTGTGGTAAAACTTCATGTTTGGTTTGTTGAGGGTTTTTTATCCTCCCCAAAGCTTGCCTTAAAAATAAGGGAATGCTGTGTACCGCTGTCAGTTCCTGTAGGGGACGCTGGCAGCCAAGTGTACGCCTGGGATTTGGGGGTGTGTGTGCGATGCTGTGAGCCCAGGCTGGGACGGGTCGTCAGTCCGAAAGGCTGAAACTTTGGGGTCTGCCTCCAGTAGCCGTCACCCCGACCCAGGCTGGGTACGTGAGTGCATGTGGAGGTGAGCAGCCTGGTGGTCATCTCCCTCTTTCCGGCCTGTTAACGCATGGCTGGCCTTGGGCAGCAGCACAAAAGTGAGCGAAGTTTTAGCACAGAAGTTGACAATTGCTGTTATTTGCTGAGGTCTTTGAGATCCTTATTTAATATTGTACACGTTTTAATCTTTAATTTATTGCAGTTTGTAAATACTCTTGTGCTTTACAGTTAGCATTTTGAGGTTTAATTTATTGAGTTAATCCGTTGGTACGTGTGTAGATAGGGGAATATGCCTACTTAGTAAATCACAGTCACGAGAAAAACATTTCAGAAATTGTAGCGTTCGAATAAAAAGAAATATTGAGGTTCTATTCAGATTAAGAGGGACATGGGAAGATTTACGGCTTTATTTTCCTTCCCTTAAGGCACCTTGTGGTTGACCCTGAACATTTATTAAGTAGAGATGGAGGCTGGTTCAGCGGTAGCAGAGTGAAAACGTTGGATGGTGTTTGTTTCCCTGTGGGTGGCTTCTGCATCTCTGAGCACAGCCGAGGAGCTGCCCGGGTCGCTGTGCTGCTAACGGCAGAGGTGCTGGTGTGGGAGAAGGGGTGAGGAGTTTCAGGGGCTGTGTGATGGGTGGTGGTGGCTTTTGCCTTTGAACACAGGACCAAGAAGCCGAAGGGATGGCCGCGTGCTGCCCAAATGTGGCAGTACACAATTTTGAACCATTTGGTTTAGTCTGTTCCTTCATGCACTTCAGGTGGACAATAGTTACGTGCAAATGCTACAGTAACTCACATTTATTCTTTTTTATGAAGTACAGTAAACCTCCTTTTTGATTAAATACGACTTTTCTGCTCTGTAGCTATTTATTAGTATTGAAAGCCAACTCTTGACCCAAGGAAGTGCAGTGCAAAGTGAAGTACTCGAGGCAGACAGCAAAATTGCATCATTTCTGTGTCTGACATCTCAAAAAAGGCTGGAAACGTTGAATATTGAAATATTTAAAAGCCTTTAATACTGAGTGTTCACTTAAGATGTATTAGTTATGAGGTCTGCTGCTTCTGTCCTGTAAAAAACTTGCACAGCTGACACCAAAGTAGCTGAATTGCCGATTGCATTGAACATCCCCACTGCAAAGATCCAGGCTGAGGAGCACCCCTTGAATGTCCTTTTAGTGTTGCCAAGGAGTGTGCTGGAGGTGCTGTGAGTAGTGCTGTACAGTGCAGGAGGTCGGTTTGGAAAGGGTAGAAGTGCTGCAAGATTTGAATTGATGAAAAGCGCTGCATTTGCTCTAACAGTGTGGTACAATTTTTATCACTGAGTTCTCTTTGCTGTAAATTTGTTTAAATGCCGCTGTCGCTGGAGTGTCTGTGTGGGCATGGAGCTGCATGCAAGCCTTCAGGCAGACTTTTCCCCTTAAAGACTAACATGAGGGACAGACAACTCTGTTTTTACAGATTGGAAAATTATTAGAAGCATAATGAGACTGAATAAACTGAAATGCACAAATAGGATTAATGTAGGGATGAAGAACTCTTCCCCATCTTAATCCAAAGCTGCTGTTGTGTTCAGGCATAACCTTAAAAGTGGAGTTTATCATTTTAAAGCAGCAAATTGATTCAGCCTGTTAACTTATGGTGGGGCAGCAGTTATCCCAGGAAAATGTGACATTTTGTTGTGCAACACTCAGTGCAAAAAGGCACCGTTGCTGCTGTGGTGCTCCCCTGTGGGAAGGAGCGTGGAGCGTGCGTGGGTGTGTGGGACAGGCAGAGGGCAGGTCCTGAGCTCTTGTGGCCACTCACTTGGGCCTTCACAGCCCCAGCAGGTGGCTGTGGGCTTTAGTGTCTGTGGGGTCACCTGTGTGCTTAATATAGCACGTGATGTAGCGTGGTTGTACTCCCCTTGTGTTCCTGTACACCCGGTACAGCAGCTGAAGCAGCAGCTTGCCTGGCTGGGGGGACTGCGCCTGTACGGGGGAGCCCTTGCCCAGATAACGGAACCTCTGCAGCTCATCTGCACCCCAGTCGTGAGTTACTGACAGGTAAAGGTTGCACAAGCAACGTAAAGTAAAACACAACAGCACAACCCCACCCTAAACCTGGGCTTAAGGTATTATATATGTCATATATAACATATATATATATGTGTGTGTGTGTTATATATAAGGTATATAACAACGGCTTGCACTTGCTGAACGTGAAAAATTGTTGCTTTTAACTAATGTGTGAGGGGTTTCTTTTCCATTTAGCACAGATGCGCTGAAAGCCTTGAGTAAATGCCTCACTGCAGTATCTGTGTATGTATGTATAAAACTATATATGTATATATTCTACATCAAAAAATCGTTGGTGATACTTAAAAAGCTGTTGTGTCTCCTTTTGAGTAGATGTTCCTTTAACGTCACAGATTGACTTTTAAAGGACAAATTAATGGCCGTTGACACAGCTAATACCTAAAATACCAAATAGCTTTTCCAAAAGCAGGCTGTCTTTGTTGTCTGACTACAGGCAGGGGGAATGGCTGTGAGTCAGAGTCGTTTATAGTGAATTTAAAGAACTATGCAATTTGCCACTACCAGATGAACACGCTTGCCATGGTGTAGCAAACCAGTGCACGTACTACTACAGCCAGTAACCATCGAGATACAAATACCTGCTCAGATTGCTGAGTATAGATCCATTTATTAGAAGAATTTTCATCTGTATTGCATTTGTCTTTTGGTTTTCCGAGGAAACTTAACTACTCTGTTCCATTTAAAAGCTTTAAATAAAGATCTGTTTGTGTACACCTTGGTCCTCTTTTTTTTCATGTCAATGACTTGACTGTTGGAAGTTCTGGTCCTTGGTTTTCATGCAGTTTTATGTCTGTGAGCCAGCGTGCAGGCTCTCTCCACCTTCAGCTCCTGGGCTGCTGGCGTCTCACCAATTTCTTGCTTTTGGGGGATTTGAAACTTAAGGGATCTCTAATTCTTCCTGCTGTAAGTGACAGCATCTGAACCAAGTATCAGGGGCTGGATAATTATTTATTCCTCTGACTGGTAAACAATCCTTGGGGGTTATCAGAGGGAGAAAGGGCAGACTATTCAAATGGGTATCATTAAAACATTCAAAAACCTGTACCTTGCACTGACAGCCCTCGTGTGCCAGGCAGCAGGACCCTTTCCATAGAGGCCATCTGTTTGAAAAGGCATCAAAAGATTAACTACATTCCTGCATTTTTTAAATTTACTGTATACAGGAAAAGCAAGATAGCTCCAAAGATAAGCTATTCTGGTTACTTCTGAAATGGCTTAAGATAAAGTTTTAAAAATAAACACAGGAGATGGTACTGACCGACTTTTCTTGATAAATTCTGTGTTTACTGGACAGCTTCACAGGGCCCTGAAAATGACTTGCTACTGGGAATCCACTAATCCTGTGTGCAGTGCAGCCCAGACAGGGAACAGGGGCAGTGCAGCCCTCACTGAACCCAGTCCCTGTAACTGGATCTGGGTTGCACCTTGCTGCAAGGGCCTGTTGGTGTCAGTAACAGGGCTGTGAAACACACTTAAACACTCTAAAGCCATTGCAAAGTCTATATATATATATTGGCACGTATTTACACTTAATTTTCACCGTCTTGTCTTACAATACATCTCAGTTACTGGTCTATACGAATGAGCATACGTAAAAATGTCACTCCTGAGTTCTAGCAGTGGCTTTATTAGGAGAAATCAGGATTGCGCTAATGGTTGACAGCAGAGTGCACGTTAGCTCTTGGTTCGACGAGGGACCTGAGTTTGTGTGAAAAGTCTGTGGTACAATCCTGGACTTCTTTGAACTCAGGCAAGTTGTTCAGAATGTAGTTGTGCTTTCTGCATCAAAATGTCACAGTTCTCTCCAGAAGCTGTACAGAATTTCTTTAGAGTAAAAGATTTATGTAGAAAAATATGATAGTCTACTATAATTAGAGTAAAGCATTTCATTATCAAGTCAGTATTTTACAAAATACAATAAACATGGTTGTAAATCTGAGAAATTGGTTTATAAAAACATACATTCTGTTGCATACACAATTCCTTGACTGAAAAGCCACATTTGTGCAGGAAGGTTGTGCCTTGCCATCTCACGTCATTCCTGACTGAAAATTACAAGCATGGCGGTCATTAAAACCAGGATATGTAGAGTTGGTTTTACTGCTGCTGAAGCCCGTTCGAGCTCTTGATAGAGGGGCATTTTGGGACAGGAAGCAGCTCTTGATTTGACAGAGACGTCTGAGAAAGAGAAGTCGTGTTTCAAAGCACTGAAGTTACCAGTATTGTCAGGTATTTCCACTATCTTCAGCATTGATTTGAATCCTGGGACAGTTGCCTAGGAGCAAACAAAAGACTTCTCACTTGGATTGAAACATCAAGTTCAGCTGTAAAACAATCGTTATCTAATGTGCTTATTTGCTCTTTCAACATGTGGGAAGAAGCTCAAGAACATACCATGAGAAAAGAGTAAATTTTTTGACATTCTACCAATAAGCCTAAACCCCCCAAAACTGAGACAGGAACTGTAACAAAATATTTATTTATAATGGGCGGGGGGCACCTCATGCTGTACAAGGGAGGGAATCCTGCAGTTACTCTTACGTGTAAGTCCTTGGCTGGCAGAGCCTGTGCTGCAGGGATGTTCTCTAGCAGCAGCTACTGACAGAAGCCATTGTGACCCAAGGAAGTAACTGTCACTGGTGGTGCCGTCACCCCGTGGTGGCCTGGGGCTGTGAGGATCCCAGCCACCACCCCATCACCCTTGGAGAGCTGTGGTCCAGGTGCTCATCCCAGCTGGCTCCACCATCTGTGTCAGATGAGTGCTTATCTCCAGACCTTACTTTATCAAGAAGTTTCCTTTCTGCTGACTCCTGTGTTAAGACACTATTTTCTTTTAAATCTGCTAAATACAAGCTCCTCTGTGTGCCTTGAGCAAGTTCAGCTCATTTGTCTGTAAGGCTGCAGTCTCACTCACTGTGCTCAGGAACTCAGTGCAATTAGAAGCAAGAATTTAGTAAGGCCGCACACTTACATTGATGATGTACGTCCCAGGCAAAAGGAGAAGGAAGTACTCCCCATGTTCATTTGTTCGGTAAGGGCAGACGTGAGGCCGTCCTTTGGCTTCCACAATGGCGTTGGGAATAGGATTCCCATTCTTGTCAGTGACTTGGCCCTTGACACCTGGGAAAAAGGGAGAGGAGGGGACAATCCAACCTGTAGCTGTGCGGAGCCTCCTTCCATGAGAACATCAGCCTGTTTGCTGCTGGATGCACCCAGGAACTATTTCAGTGATTCTGAGCACATCTAATAATATTAATTTAAAATTAAGTCAGCCTCTTATCTAGTACTCCCCAAGGACAGAATACTAACAACATCTGCTTATGAAGTAGTTTCCCTAAATTCCCCTACACCACCTTCCATACAGCACCAGAGCTGAGCAAAGATAAAACAGCAGCCAGACATTCTGGGCAACAAAACATGAGATAAGCAACAGATTTGTGCAAATCCTTCAACTCAGTGTAAAGTACCACAGCTGTGAAGTCAAGATCACACCTACAAAAGCCTTACAAAAATACCAAATCCAAGCAGCAAAGACCCAGGAATCACAGACAGACAGACACACAGACACAGACACACACACGTCTCTGAAATGACTACCTCAAGGCTGCTCAGGAAAGCAGACTCCCTGAGCAAGGTGTAGGATAAGATGACCCCAAGGGCCTGTCCCTTGCTCCTGCCCCAGCACATTTTAAGCCCCTTGCACTCTGTAGTAGTACCCCTCACCCCACCCCTGTAAGTCTCCCGTACCCATCCCTAGCCTGGTAGCAGTTGCTATTCAGATCCTTCCTTGAAAGCAAAGCTGCCAAGCTCACACCAGAGCTCCTCACCTGTGGGCTCCAACACTAACCCAGGATGCTGAAGAGCTCCCACTTTCCCACTGGCTCAGCCTCAGCCTTAGCTCCCTCCCCTGTCTGCACACCTACCTAGATGCACTTGCTTTATATACTCGATCAAAGCGACTTTGTTGTCTCTCCAGAACTTTTCCAGCTGCTCTGCTGGAGGATATTTACAGCATGACAGCTCCAATGTGATTTCGAAACATTGTCCCCAGACATAGTTGTAATCCTGCATTCCACCTTAAAAGTGAAAGGAAGCAAAGAGTGTTTAGCTGCAAAGAAGCACCAAGTTCACGCTAAAAGAAAAATAGGAGAGCTAAAATGTTGGTACTTGCATCACACTTGTAAAAAAAGTAAATCAGACACATTTTTTCCTTAATGCCACACTTGTATTTACTGCCTCCTGTGGAAAACCAACTTAATTAATCTAGTTACATGTAGAGTGTTGTTTTCTAAAACACAGTGATGCTTCGGGAATGATGATCATTACGGCTGAGGAAGGGCAGGTCTTTGACCTAAATTCATTCAAGCACTCCCAACTAAACAGGGCCAGGTAAACTCACAGGCTGCCACAGAGTTTCCCACTGCCAAAGCCATCCTAACAGCCTTTAGAGGCTTTGATTTCAGACGGTGAAAGCACCACACAGTGCCACGGCACACAAGACCCATGTTCTATTTGGCTACGCGTAAACAGTAGTGAAAACATTTGCTTCAGTAATTAAACATTAAAAAAAGGACGATCTATGAACAGAAGATTGGTTTTCTCTCTGAAAGGACAAGACCTTGTTGCCACATCAGCACGTGTGTGTAATGATACAGCTATGCAGGCCGTAAGAAAGGGCACAGCAGCTGCCAGCCGCAGAGACTGCCTCATTCACCTGTTAAATGCAGACTGGGAGAGTCCACAAACACCCATGTTCTGCTCAGGGAATCTCCATGAATGCGTTGGCTTCCTCACCTCCTCAGTGCTCTGCTCTGGGCAAAATCACAGCCCTTTCATCCCGAAAAATGGCAGGAGAAAGCGAGACCATTGTACCTGAAGCAGCTGAAAAAGCTATCTCTGACATTCTTACCTTCCAGCTGGTACCAGGAGTACCCGTTGGTGATGCCTTGTGGAAAGGTTTGTCTGTTGTCACACCCAGTCCCTTGGTGCATGCTGGCATGGTTGAAAGAATAGGTTTTTGCCAGATGAATAAAGACATCGTCATCTGGAGACCTGCTGTAGCCTTTCAAAGAGCCGGTAACTGCAGGATAAAGATAGCTATCACATAACTCTGGTAAAACACACTGCTTACACACAGGATAAACATCTCCCAGATAGCCAAATCAGGCAGTGAATTTTGATGGGGTTTATCAAAGTCTGCCCATCCCACCTCAAAACCTCGCAGGAATCCTTATCAATTTTGCTTTGTTGCAGCTGACGTTCCTAAACCAAATCAGCTGTGCAGAAGAGTTTGTCACTGGCTTACCTGAGTTACCATTGTCAAAGGTGTAACTGGCAACCAGGGCACCCCCGTGCAAGTTTGCTGAAAGAACAAATGTCTCATTTTTAATCCAGTTCATCACTGCGTGAGTCTCTGGCTGAATGCTGGCGCTGTTGTTTTCAAAGGCATCGGGAAAATTCCTGTTCAGATCTACTCCGTTCTTGTTGTACCTGAGAGAGAAAGAGGACATTCCCATTACTGTTTTGCCCACAGACACTCACACATCACCGGCATCCCAGTACTTGAGATCTGTGTCTTCAGGAAATGCACCAGATGACAACTGCAAACCTTCTCAAGCATTAAGAAGATGGACTTCAGTTTACTTTCTGGCAGCACTGGAAGTTTCATACGATGCAATGAAACGATTCTTCTGTTGTGTTTCAGGTGGAAACAGTGAATAACATTTCATAATATTAAAATTAATATAGAATGCACACACTTACACACACATACTTGAGCTAAAGAAACCTAAGCCAGATAAGGAGAATGTTGCCCTTCTGATTGTGTTTTTCACACCTGTACAGAAGCCCAAGGTAACTACGGGATGGCCATGTCCCTTGTGCCGCTGTTGCTCTGGCAAAAATTTGACTCAACCGCAGGGTGTATTCTCTTCTCCCTGTACCAGAAGCTCCAGCCAGTGCAAATGTTTTCTTCCTTTTTCACTCAGACAGGTCAGTACAGAGAACTGAGAGGGTATTTAGAGTCAGCTGTATTAATTTTTAAACCAGGTTAGTTAAACTATGTCTGTTTGACAGTGAGAGGATTAAATACCCCACTCTCCATAAAAGTCCCATCTATTTGCTGAGGAATAAGTTCCTTTCCTAATAAAAAGAGGGCCTACACCAGGCACCTAGGGAGCTAAACTACCTTTTCACTGGCTTCTGACGCTGCCATGGCCAGTGATCCAAGAGAACTTCTAGCTCATGTGTTGCCTTTAACTGCACATCCTAACTTTGTCCCTTTGGCATTTCTTCCCATTCTCTCACTCTCTCTTCTTCTTCCCTCTTTTAAGCTTGTTAAACTTTCCTCCCCATTTTAATCTCTGCAATAGTTACATTAAAGAACGCAGAAGGATATAATGCTAGGCTACATTTTCTTCTGCATGTTTTTTTCCCTAGCACTACTATTAGCACAGCACCTACTACAGTGAGCTCTGCTTGCATAATTCCTCCCTCTTGTAGATATGCATTCAACATGGTCTTTAAACACATTTCCAGAAGTCCATTCAACAAGCTTAGACACACCTTTTTCTCATTAAGAAAGCTTACAGAGTTCTCCAAACAAAATAGATCCCTGTGGGTGGTGTTTTCCTTCTATTTTTGTAGTACCCTAAAGGTCTAAACAGGTAATTGTGCTCCTACCTGCAATCTGGGTTTCCTGCCTAAAAGGTTAGGTCATTACACCATCCTGACTGATTTTCTCTAGCCACATCACACGTAAACACTGGTCTGACTCAGTCTTCCAAAATCTCTATGCCGTAACAGTGCATCTTCAGAACGGCACAGGCCAAAATTAGCCCTAGCACATCCTCTAGGCTATCCACTCCATCAAAGATGATTCAGCCTCTTGGCTATCTCCCATTACTACTCCCCACCCATTTCCTCTACCGACTCCCACCTTCCTAAGCCACCCTTACCTTCCTCGTGTGTAATAACAATCGGGCACTTTGGTAGCTTCAAATCCATCGGGATTCATTGTTGGCATGATGTGAATCCGGGTGTTATTGAGTAACTGGGTAATAACTGGGTCACGTCCATAGCTGGTCACTAGGAAGTCTATCAAATGGAGCAGGATTTCTCTCCCAACAGTCTGTATAAAGAAGCATAAATTTTATTTTAGGTTTGCTGTGGAAGGAGAACAAAAAAGACCCCACCACCTTGCACTTACAGGTTTTTCTTACTGCATTACACAAACATACAAGAACATTCTGGTCAACACTGCTTTGTTTTATGCTCTCCCCTAAAATTATTTCAGGTAATTGAATAGATGAAAGGAGTCACTGGAGGGTTTCCACAAGGGTTTTAAACACAGATCAATCAGAGCTTTTTCTGTAACTGGAAACTGTGTCAGCTGTGCTGCTTAAACCCTGCATGGATAAGGCTGTGCCTTATCCAAAACTAAAACTGCCCAGGCTGCCTGTTCAATACACATGGGGCTGGAAAGGCACCGCTGTGTTATCTCAGCTGCTCTGAGGGTCAGCTCCGCTGTGGTGCATGAGGGACCCAGGCCCTGCAAGTAAGTGTCAATGCTGGGCATCGCCATGTGGCAATGATGGGTCAGGGGAGAGGAAGGAGGCAACTTCCATGTTTCCCAGGGTGCTACAAAGCGGGATTTTTAGTTGTTGGTCCCCATTTATTTGAAGTCAACTTTAACATGGGATCAAGAGAGGCCCCATAGACACTTCTGCTATAGTCCCTGTTATGTTGTTTTATTTTAAAGTCATGAACACAGGCATTGGGGAAACTAAAGAGGTATATATAAATCTTTAGAGAGATGGAAGGTCATTTGGATGCACTTTAGATCAGGAAAAGGCAGTGGCGGAGAAAAAGCAAACTACATATTTTTGTCCATTTAAGTTTGCACAGGTCATGAAAGCAGGCAGGACACCTCCCTTTGATCCACTCCATCAGACAGTGGCAAATTCTAGTTGCAGTTAGCAAAGAGCAATCCTATTCCACCCCAGAAACCACCAATATGGTACTTTCCTCTCCACAGCACTGTGACCCATGCCTCAAGGGTGCTGCAGGGTTCCTAAGCCCTGGCTGGGATGGGAACAAATCAAGACTTGCAACCAGATGTGCTCTGGAGATAACTTATCTCTACTTTATCTCCAAGAATAAAGCCTGGTAAATCACTGCAGGCTCTAATTCAGAGCTGAAGCATTTCAGTATCTTTTAGAACGAGTCTTGCATCACTAAAGTGGAAATAGTGCACTAAATTGTTTTTTTATCTGAAGTGAGGAGCATGGAGTGGCATTACTGGAGGAACCTGGTGTCGTAGACAGACATCATCTTTGCTTTCAGACTGGTACAGGCTAAGGCAAATGGTAGGTGAAATCAGGCAGAGGAAAACGAATGTTTCTTCACAGCTATTTGCTGCACTAAGATCTTGTTAAATTTTCACGTCGGTGCATTTTAAGTGGCAGATCCTGCTCTGGGTGTTACAGGAACACAGACACCGTCCGGCAGGAGCTGGGTTGGGATGGGGCAGGGAGGGCTGTGTGTAACTGCTCCTCAGGCTGGGAGCAAACCAGGCCTTGCCAGTTGGCTAGAAATTGCTGTTTATCACAAACAGACAAACAAAGTGGTGCCAAACCTGACTCCACTGAGCTGCAGATCACACATTTTAAGTGTCAAACTTAAAGGCAGCCGTGGTCTCCAGGCTGGTACTTGAGCAATTCTGTTTGTACAGAGGAAAAAGAAGGATCTCTTCCCACCCTGCCCGCAGAGCAGGTTTATTCCCAAGTTTTCTAACTCTTGCCTGGTGGTCTCCTCAAACATACTCAAATTTACTATCCCAATAATTAAGAGGTTCTTTTTCTAGCTGATACAGCAAATGGGCCTTGACAAGGGAGAAAGGTACCTAATTTCTTCCAGTGCCAGTAGCTTCCAAAGCGGCACCTGAGTACATGAAAGCAGACTGCTCTGCTGGCTTGAGGAGAAATGTACTCTGTGAAATTTAAGCAGGGACGCAACAGAACCTGTCTTGTACAAGCAGCTCAGTTGCAGCTCTGGGTGATAGACATCTTGGGAAGCACAGACTGGGGGGGAAGAAAGGAGGGGAGAGACGTCAGCCAAATCATGGCCCTGGGCATGAGAGATAAAGCTAGCAGCCACAGGAGCAACAAGAACAGCCCTACCACAGAGACAGGTAACTACAGACAAGACTGGACGGCTCTCTGGAGGAACTGGAAAGTGCCTCTGCTTGTACCATGCTTCTCTTCAGTGCCTGATGAAAAGACATCCAGGAACGAAAGGGTAAAGAAGCAGGAACAGGAATGGGGGAAAAGCAACGGGAGAAGGTGGTGGAAAAGGACAGTGTTTATAAAGAATGGAAGTTGACCACTTTTTCATAGACTACATTCTTTGCACTTAAGAGTTTAAACCAGACTTACTTACATATACAGTATTTTAAAAACTAACCCTATTTTATAGGATCTCATATAGCTATTGCTGTACCCGAGTACTTAGTACATTAAATAATTCAGCTAATCTCTGTCACAGAGAGCTGGTGCTTCGATCATTCTCCAGTGGGGGAAGAGTGTATTTAGTACCACTTTGTTTTAGAGGGGTGGGTCTCTTTTGGTCCAGAGGACCCTACATTTTAGTTTCTGGTAAAATAAAGCTCAAGTTTTGATTAAGGCCTTGGAAGGCATCTCCTACCCAGTCAAGCTTTACCCTGATTATGGAGAAGTCAGCTGTACCCATGGAGAAAAGTTATGAAACATTAAATTTTTACTTTAGAGCTTTAAATCTAGACACAGTGGAGGGAGGTTACAGTAAAGTCAAGGACAGACAGCTTAACCTGCCTCTAGTCTAATACTAAGAAGTAGAGAGCAGGGGACAGCCTTTACGTGGTTTGATAAGACATGAATATTTGGTTTTAATTGCAGTATCCCAAGGGCATATCCCAAGGTGCATTGCTTTGCTGTAGCTCAGATGAGGGCTGACCCAAAAGCCAAGGAGAACCCCTTCTCCCCTTTCCATGGACAGAGTTAGACGTTAGATTTCTCTGTGCACCTTCAGCTGTGAGGTTCCTTGTGTGCCCCAAAGGGAGAGAGCAGGAAAGGCTTTCTGTGATCCTCAGGAGAAGTCCTGAGCGGAGCAGCATGTGTCAGGGTATGGACTCACGCTGCAGAAGAGGGTGTGCCTGGTGTCTCTGTAGCCATACCCTCTAAACTTGCTGACTGTCACTTCTGGCATGGCTGGGGTCAGCTCCTGGCTCAGCTACCGAAGGGTTACTCAAGCGGCCCTGCTGGCAGCCAGCTGAAAGGTTTACCTTAGCCACACCTGCACCTGCACCATAACACTTCACTGCAGCGGCCCTGCTTTTAAAACGTTTTTGTTACCACATGATGGAGACCAGGGGAGCATGGGCGGAGAGACTCTGCCCGTTTTTATGATTAAAATTCTTTTCTTAAACGTGGCCTGGCTTTTAAAGTCGAACTATGTTGAAAGAAAGATCCAAACCATCAGGTAGGACCTGTTTTAGAGCGGCATGGTTTTGCCAGCCTCCTTGCTCCAGCCCTGGCTGCTCTGCAGACCGAGCACAGCAAACCAGGCACAACCCCGCCTAAGGAAGCGGAGTTACAGCAGAGAAACCAATAGTCCACCCTGGCCTGCCTCTTAAAAAAGAGCATCTTGCATCTAATGTGTGGCATTTAAGACTTGTGCGGCACTAACTATTAATCATGGCTGTGACACTCCCCACTGTGTTTGTCCTCCTTCACTGAAATATACCAGTGTTAAAGCTGCTGTTTGTGCAAATACAGTTTGGCAAATATCCATCTATTTCTACAGCAGCAATTGCTATGGAAATATGAGAACTACCACGTGTATGACAGGGAATTGCAGTTCCTTGCTTTATCACCAAAGGAAATGGCAACATAAAGCCTGCTTTTGAACTAGGAACTGGCAGAAGATGTTACTACGTGGACAAATCCCAGCGGCTTCAGGCTTCACCTGGCTGAGAAATGGATCACTTTTTCCTTTCCTACTCAAGAGTGGGAGTAAAGATAAGGAGAAAGGTAACTGGGGTGAGGCAGCAGCCCTACTTGTGTTGAAAGAGATCTCAGCAACATCCAGCTTTTTTAAAGTCTGAGGTTAGGAAATATATTTGGTTGCTTTGAATTTTGAAATCTCCAGTGCCTTTGACCTTCTTTACATCACATCAGCCGATACTGAAGCCAGGTGGAAGACAGTTCACTATACAAGAAATATTTCTTTTTTTTTCTCTGTTCTCTTTTCCCGAGTAGGTATTTGTTTCCCTACCACATCTCTTCCATACTACATTGCACAGTATGAAGGACATTAAAAAATTCCCTATAGCAGATTATGTAGTATTTTGCCTAACTGGGTGATAAAAAAATTTGCCTTTTTTGTAATGGTATTTTCATATTGTAAATGCAGCTTCCATTCATTTGTTGGAAGTGAGAGTGAGAAATCCTACACAAACCCTGCTGTTTGGGTTTTTTAAGCCCCAGTTATATTGATCACAAATAAAACAACCAGTTCCCAGTCACACAAGCCCTAATAAGTTACTGTATCACAGGAAACCCTTCTGTGGATATGACTATTGCTATGACATGGGAAATAGGGTCTAGTTTCTTTAATTTAAATCACAAGCTAAGCCAGCAAAATAAATGCATCCTTTCATGTAGACTAGCTCAGGCCTATCAGAACAGACTCAGTTTCACATAATGAAAGAGGCAAAATATTATCACACTAAGAAAAGAAAGTGGTCAGAAGTGGATGATTTAAGAGAAAAGGGTTGTTACCAGCATTATCATTCTGGGTAAGAGTTTATTTGTGATGGCCCAGTCACACTGTAGCTGCAGAAAGTTAAGGAAGATATATACTTAATACATTACAAAGAACAAGCAGAAATGCACAGGTAGTTTACAATTTGTTCAGAAGTGCATTTCCTTAAATTTTTCCTACTGTGATATGCATGGTTCAGGAACAGCCTTCTAATTACATCCTGTGGTTCAGTTGTGTAGACTGGACTCAAGTCACCTGTACAGCTGTCCCGAAGAGGCTATTTCTGCTCCATTTATGACTTCGGAGTGTCTGGGGGTTTGGTTGTGGTCAATGTCAAGTGGAACAAGTTATTTCCCACAGGGGAACATGTGAGGGTACACACTGAGTGAGAAAAGAGCTTTCTGTAAGAGTACAAGCCTGGGACAAGAGAGGCTGCTGCCCAGTTCCGAATGAGAGCTGGCCCAGAACAGCAGACAACCTCTCCCTTATCTTCCTCTAATTATCGGTTGTAATCTGGCTTGGTTAAACAAAAAAGTACTCCTAAATATGGTGTTCAGCTTCATACAGGCACACAAAGAAAGGGAAAAGTCTTTTTTGATGCACCTCTGGGGACCTGGGGCAAAAGTTCACTGTGTTTGGCAACAGTGATCACAAAGTAAAATCATTTAAGCCTTGGCTGGTCATGTCATACAGTATTAAAAAGAATTGACCTACTTAAAAAAATAAATATTTCCAGCTCTGAAAAAATACTCTCTTCCTAGTGTTGTGTACTCACATTATTTTATTAGAACTTCCCTGCTGGGCAGCTTTCCAAATAACCTAGGTTTTCTTCCAGCAGCATGTGTGAACAGCCTGCACACACGTCATTCAGGCTCCCCCTAACTTTCAGGTTTTAGGAGCAGCTGGCCAGCTGAGCCAAAAAAGAAAGATGTCATTGTGTGACCATGACAGGTTAGAAGGGCAGCATCACCAAACAACACTTGAGAACAGAGCTCTTCTCAATTCGTACCATTTATAGAAAGCTTCACTGAAGCACAACACACTTAACTATATCAGTGAAGCCCTAATCCTGCAATTTTAAGTTATGAAAGACTGTGACACACAAGTTGAAGCTTGTCATACAGTTAGTGCAAAACATATCTGCTGAATATATATTATAGGGGTAGCTGAATCTCCCCCCAGTGACTAGACCAGCAGAATCTTAGATTATGGGAAAAAAATATTTGGAGTTCTTCAATGCTTCTTTATATGAGGAATTCATTTCCTGCCATCTGAAATACATTTATGGTCAGATAGGAAACACAAACACCAACTGTGCATTATAGCCATACACACAAAAAAAACCCATAAGGCAAATGAGGGCCTGAAAAGGAGGAATAACTCTATTTCCAGAATCTTCCCCAGGTGCATGCTTGGTCTAATGAACAAGCTAGAATGTAGCATGGCACTTGGTGCTAGATGGTGCCTAGGCAGCTCAAGGGTCAACCTTGCTCAGACAGACTCAGAGTATCAGTGCCAGATACTTTAAAATAAAATAAATTTTTTAAAAAGTCTTGCCTTATTTCCTCACAAAGTCAATATAAAAATTTAGACCCTAGGCAGTGATCCAGGTTGACTGCTCTCCAGCAGTTCCTGACCCCATGTCTCCATAGTCAAAGTTCCCCGTGCATATCCAGCTGGGCAGAGACAGGGGCAGGAGAGCTTCATTGTGGAGGTTTCAATAGAAAGGGTGGTCCAGTAAAATTGCATTTCAGAGCCAGGTCATTCTGGATGAGGTCATATCCTGCCCTCCATCTCCTTCCCACCAAAGTTGAGTCATCTGAAGCCATAGGTTTGTAATTCCCTTTAGCAGTCTTCAGGGACCGTCATATAGAGCCCTGGTTCCTAGACATCCTGCACAACCGGGTTTTAGGAGTTGCAAACCCTATCTTGGGCATCCAGTAACACATGGACCCATTGGAAACCATGAATCAGCTTCCTCCCACACAGAGAGAAATTCCAAAGGAGTCAGGCTCCCAGCAGCACCTCAAAAATAACCACTGCCAAACAGGGTGAAATGAGTCTAACTTGGGCAAATGTCTTGGCACACAATATCACAGGGGCCTGTAGGTGTGCAAGTGCTCACACACAGTAATAGTAATAGCCTGTGATATGTTATGCTTTTCACAGGATATATTTTCTACTAGATCTATTTTTCTTAGTTTAGAGAATTCACAGTCTAGCGCATACATATACATATATATATATATATATATACACACATACACACACACATATATATATCCATATCCATTTCTGTTGAATTATCTACCCTTCACATTGAAGACTGCATAGAAATATATTGTGTAGTTTAAACTTATCTTGAACATGACTAATATAAGCAGGAAAAGCTAAATAATAAGGAAAACAGAAAGCAAGATAAGATCATAGAGAAGACTGAAGCTTTGAGTCTTTCTGTTCCAGATTCATGTACTGCACCAGGAAGGCTCACGATCACCATTTTCTCCTTCATCATTAAGTGGGCATTCATCCCAGAGCAAGTTAACCCTGAAATTGCTTTTTGCTTTGTACTCTGTGTTATCTCAGGTGAATCTAGGTATTCCTAGCTTAAGAGAAATTTTCTTCCTAAAGTAAATCATTTGGTGCTTCACAGCAATTATTACTCCATCTCAGGACGTATTTGAAGAGTTCTGTCAGTCACACTTCATGCCTAGGCAATAACAACGTACCAGCAAACTACTGAATCTGACTCATTGGCAGGAAAGTTAAAGCCTCTGGGTTTATTCACCTGGATAAGACAAAGCTTTCCAAGACAGGTCTTAGGTGTAGGAGTCTTCACGCTGATGTAAGGTCTCCTAAAGCCCTTCCACCGAAACAAGGGAACTTTATTCTTGAAATTCCTCAACAAATACACACATATGAGATCCTCTTTGAGGTATGACATACCTCAGTAATAAGTAGCACAAGCCTGAGAGAAGTTCACTCTAAACCGCTGGTAAGTGTATTTGGTATAAATGACATTGCAAAAGTTGAAACGTACCTCATCCCCATGCATATTAGCAACATACTTGAACTCTGGAATGCCAATCTTATGATGGGTTGGAAACCTTCCCAGAACAAGAACCCACAGGTCTCTACCTTTAAGAGGGGAAGGGGAAAAGACATTTTTAAACAAGTGCAAAAAATCATACAAAACTTCGAGAACAACAAAAAAAAAGAATAAAAAGAGTTGGTCATTAAGACCACGATACAAATACTCATATTTCCTTGTTGCCCAGTCAGTCCTGTATGGAGCTCATCAAAGTAGACTGTGGGGTTATTTTAGTCTATAAGTACTTGTTAAATTAGTTATAGGAAGAAATATGTTTTGCCTTCTGACCAGAAGTGTGTAGTGAACCCTGCAATTTCAAAAGCATTTAGTCAGTGCTAGAAAAGAGTTTGTTGGTTTCTTTTTTGTAATAAACATTCTTCAAATCAAGTTTAGCAAGCAAGATCTCGTCAAGCAAAGTCACCAAGAAACTAAAGAGTATTTAAAATAAGACGTTCTTCCCCCAGAAAAAAGATTAGATCATAAGGGTTTTCTGAAGTTTTAATTATCACAAAGAAATAACTTTTTTTTTAATACTAAAAATCATACAGAAAATCTAAACACATTTATGAGTTACTGCTCAGAGGAGACTCTGGGGAGAGTTATATTGGAGACATATTAATAAAAAAAAGCAGGGAAAGAATTAATAGCTACAGAAAGAGCGTTAGTTAGGACCACTAAAGCTGCACAGGAAGCTGAACTTTAAGCAACAAGCTAAACAAACAAACATATATTTTGGAAGTTCTCATTTAAAGGGTGGGAGGGGCATTTATTATTATTATTATTTTTAGTGATACTGTGGCATTTCAAATCTTATCTGCAAAACTGTATTTCCCACTAGCCTGCTCAATGAGGTAGAAAGCTCTTGTTTCCATAGCTGGTAGCAATGAAACTGGACCAGTTCCTTGCTAAGAGCAGTCACAGCCTATGGATTGCTGACGTCCAGTTCTTGCCTGCTCCCTGTCCCCAGCTTTCACCCAGAGCTTAACAGGTTGAATCAGAGTCTCAGGCTTAGGATCAAGAAGCAACAAGACAGCACTGAGAGCAGACAGATTCAACAAGGAGTGGTCTCAGGATCACCTAATTTTACACAGTCAATCTAGAAGACATTGGTGTTCAACCCTTATATCCACATGTTACAACAAAGCTATGAGATGCTGCTACTGACTCTTTCATTGAAGGACTATGTGAGCAAGCAATCCATACTTTTAAATGTAAGTTCACAGTAAGTGCTTTGGTGAATAGGTGAGTTATTTGGCTTTGTTGTATGCAGAGCCACCATTTCATTAAAAACCAAAACAAGTTTGACTTTTCCTAAGTCTAGAAAAGTTACAGAGAAGCACATCCTTCTTCAAGAAGTAAGGATAAAGAATCTCTAATTCCCACCACCCTAGCCCTCCTCCCCCTCCAAAATCTCCAGCTGTCCCTTCCAATCTCAATGATCCTGCAATTCTGTGAAAATAGAGGACAAGTCTTGCTGCAGTAGTGTATGTCTGGAACTGGAAAAAAAAAACCCCAGTCATGACAAAAACATGCTACTTTTATTCACAATCAAGCATGGACAACAATCTCAGCTTAATTTCCATCTCTGCAATGTGTCAGCCTCTCCATGGTTGTATCCAGGGGCAGCCTATAATGAAGTACCAAGGAAGTCTTTCCAGAGTGCTCCCATGATTCTTTGTCCTTAGAAGTCCCTCTAAGCCATTCTGCCCAGCTCTCCTTCCCTTTTCTGGAAGGAAATCTCAGTAATCCCTCCTTGGTGCCCAACTTGTCTATTGTTACATGAACTGCTGCACCAAGAGGATCAAACCTGCGTACAGTTGCAATTACAGCTTTTCCACCACGGCCCAAACTCAAGGTGACTCCTGTGAACCTACAATGTGCAGCTTCCCTAGCTAGGGGTTCATCAGACTGAGTTGCAGTGCCAAAGAGCATATCCAACGTCTAAAAGACAGTGGTAAAAATATGAGATAAGACAGCAAAGGACCTATATTGGACACCTGATGGTGTCCCAGCTCTCTCCTAGATGGAGGTGGATACAGCTAAACTGTAAAGCATGGTTTCCTACAGAGGAGACATATACCTTCTATAAGGTTATAAATATATTCAGCCCTGGGACTGCCTGTTATCAGTGTGTGTACCAAGCACATAGACAAGGCTTCAAAATATCTTAGAGCCAATGGGTTCAGTGAATTAAGTGTAAAAAGTCCTCACAGGGCAAGTGAAATAAGTGCCAATTAAAAGCATGAATTTCCTCAGATCCTCAACGATTCTCTACACAAGCACAAAACAGTGACCTAGAAGGTGAGACAGCTTCGTGTAGGATCAGGGCATTAAACCAATCAATATATTGAATACATTTATGTTATCTTTATGTACATAATTATTATCCAATATATAAAATACCCAATCAATCACAGCAGCCAAAAAACACTGCCGTCCTTAGAACATAAAGTATTTATCTCACAAATAACCAGACAGTAACATTAGTCCCTGGCTTTATTTGAATGGAAGCAGATGAGAAGGGCTATTTCAAATCCAACTGCTGGCAATGACAACACCCACATCCGTTGTGTACAGACTTTTTGGAGCACCTTGTGAGCCCATGTAGCACAGTGCCATATACTTTAGCCACTTCCCCATAGCAGCACTAGCACTGATTCAGTACACTATATATACACTGAAGTAGCAAGAGTCCAAGTACAGCTAAAATGCTATAGTTATTTCTGTCATTTAAGACTTTCTACAAATAATATTGTATTCTGATTTCAAATTTTAAAAAAAATATTTCCAGTGCCCCGCTATCAACTGTGCTCATTC